TGAGCAGCCTTGAAACCGTAAAAATTGTTATCAAGGGAAAACATGAAGGGCTGGAACCTGCTCTGTGGTGGAGCTCTAACCTAGCATGTGTGGAGCCCTGGTTCCAGCCCCTAGACCACGAAGAAATGAAGGAGAAGGAATAAAGGGCTGTCGATTGTCCGGAACAACATATCCAGGGTTACAGACACAAGAAGAACAGCCTGTGGTTCTGTCTGGCCATCTGTCCTGCAGGCAGAAGGGAGCAATGGAAGAGGCCCCAGGTGCTCATGTCCTGGGATGTTATTACTATTATCACAGAGGAGAGCCTGGGGTCTGGAGAGAATATGAGGGAGGCATCTCATGAGGGAACATCGGTGCTGGGCACTGACCCCTGGTGGCTGAAAGTATCCTAACGCCTTCAGAGCAAAGGATTCAATTAGCATGCATTTGTGAATATTCTTCCTCTGGCTGCTGCTAAGTACCAGTAGCAGAAATACATCAAAGAAAGATGGATGGTGGCAGTAACTGACTCACAGAGCTGTGAGGTCAAGTGTAGTTTGAGGGTGACTAAAACCAAGGCTGAAGGGCAGCAGGAATTAGCTCTGTCAGCCCTCAGCTTCTCGCTGCCAGCAGGCTCCATTCTCACCTTTTTCCCCACATGACCTGCAGCGGCCGGAGCATCTGTCCTACTGTCTTTTCAGACCCAGTAGAAAAGCGGCTCTGGCCCTACTGCTCCAGCAAAAAGCTCCGGGATGAAGATGCTTTGGCTGAGTTAGGTCTTGGTTCTACCTTGAAACCAATTGTCATGAACCCAGTGAGGAAGCCAAAGCGAAATGCAGAAGGTTGGCTTCCCCTCTCCCGCACGGGAAGGTTCAAGTGCTGTTTCTAGGAGGAAGGTGTCCGTGGCTGTGTCACAGGGTCACACGCCCCTCCCTGTTAGAGCCCAGTTAACATCCTCGCGCTCCAAGGGGCTCCAGGCAGAAATGGGTTACAAGGCTGTGAAAGGGGGTGAGGGATGCAAAGCCTTCTAGCGTCTACAAACAGAGGAGGGGTCTGCGCATTGTGGGAATCCCATCGCAGTTGGTAGAGATGATGGCCTGGGCCACCAGACTCCTAACAGTTACCTATGCGTGTCAAAATGCTTTGACTAGCCTCACTTACAACGAGAGGTAGAAATCCTTACGATTCAGGGGCAAGGGGCTGGAGAAAAGGGCAACTGAGAAGAAAGCAAGGGAATATGGGGACACCTGGGTAGAACAAATGTGAAACATAAAGCAAGATGAAAATGTCAATACTCTGACTGGCCAATGGAATAAATGGACCTATTCGGCATGGCAGCACACACCTAGAGTCCCAGCCTTGGGGACTTAAGACAGAGGAGCGTGGGTTCAAAGCCCGCCCGGGCTACAGGGTGAGACACTGTCTCAAAAGAAGTGCATGTGAGATGGCTTGACTGAGCTGTGCAATGCCCAGAAGCCATGCAAAGGTGGCAGGAGAGAACTGGCTCACAAGGCTGTCCTCTGACCGCTCCCAGCATGCACCTGCATGAGGCTGTCCTCTGATCGCTCCCAGCATGCACCTGCGTGAGGCTGTCCTCTGATCGCTCCCAGCATGCCGTGGTATCTGCACACCCCACACATCAAGCACACGTCCAGTAACACCAACAATAATAAGGAAGTTTTTAAATGGAGAAAAGAGAAGAAAGGAGGGAGGAAAGATGGTCAGATTTGAGTTTTTAAAACATACTGTCAATATGTTTGTTTATTATAAACAGATTTAATATAAACAAATTTAATATATATGAACAAACATATTGACAGTAAAGGAAGAACATATGTAGTAGATGCCATATACTAATACTGAGGAAAGGGAATCTAGCTGGCTCTAATATCATATAAAATAAACTCTGAGTGAATGGTCTTATTAAGGATAAATATGACCATTGTATTTTGATAGAGTTAATCTCTCAGAAAGATAATTTTAATGTATATGTGCTGAATGACCTAGCTTAAAAAAAAAAACATGTAAAGTTGACAGAAATACAAATAACAACTCATTATAATATCAAATGTATAATATATTACCAATATTTGAAAATCAGATAAGGGTAACACTTTCAATGGTTCAAAGTGTAATAAACTGATAAGTGATTCTTCCCAAGAAAGGCAGGACACATTCTCTCAAACCATGAGGAACTAAGAGTTGACTAGAGCTGTGAGTGGTTGCACATGGTTTTAGTCCCGCAGGCAGAGGTAGACAGATCTCTGTGAGTTCTAGGCCAGCCAGGGCTACCTAGCAAACTCCAGGCTAGCCAGGGCTACATATCAAGATTCTGTCTCAAACAAACAGTGTTGAGTTTGTATGAAAACTCTGCTCATAGAGTCCTCTAACTACAACAAAGTTAAATAACAAAAGAAACCTTCACGAACTTGCAAACACATTTGTAGTAGATGGTGGGAAAAAAAATCTTTAAGCTGTTAGGAGATACATTTGAGAACATGGCCACAAAACATACAATGTTCCTCAAAGGGAAATGCAGATGTAAATGCTTAGAACATAAAAAAAAAATTAGTTTGAAATTTAAGAACTGAAAGTCCAATTTAAAAAGTTGCAGAGACCAACACTCTGCACTTGTGCACAGGAGAGAAAACAACAGCAGAGTGGACATCAGCGGGTGAAAAGGCAAAGGCCGAGCAAAAGAAGGGCAACAAACCCAAAGGCAGTTCTTTGGAAAATTCCGGCAGAATTTGTCAAAATGAGCAAGTAAATGACAGAAAGAAGGAGGACGTCTTCATGGATCTTGCTGAAAGTAAGAACGGTTATAATGTCTGGAGTCAAGTCCATGTCCACCGGAATCGAAGTGAGGGCCAAACCGGGGGAAGTCAGTCAGCACCACAGACAGGTAGGACAATCGTTTGCAGGTTAAAAACGGGAAGTGGAGGGTTAAGGAAGGAAAATGGGGAAATAAGATCGGACAACATATAAGCCCGTAGAAGAAGAAGAACGAGATAGTTTGATGGCTTGGCCTGTAAGAGGACTCCATAAACAAGTCCCGAAGGGAAAAATACATAAACTATTAACATTAAAGAAACAAGACTGAGGGCTGGCTCAGTGGGTAAGAACGCTTGGTGCACAAGCATGAGGACCTGAGTTCAAATCCCCAGAGCCCACCTTGAAAAGCCAGGCATGATCACATGTGCTTAGAGCCCAAGCATTGAGGGGTGGAGACAAGTGGAGCTCCAGAGCTTGCCAGCCAGAGAGCCTACCTAAAAGGCTCTACTTCAAGTTCTGTGAGAGACCTGTCTCAGGGAAATGTGGCAAGAATAAAAAGTCAGCCTCTGAGAAGAACAGTCATAAAACGTTCATTAAAAAAAAAAAAAAATGTAGGCAGAAAAAAATAGAAACATTTGCTAAAGACCATCAGCTACTAGTGAAGTTCGATCTCCTAACTTAAATATTTCTTTAAATCATCTATACGTACTTTAAGAAGAATGTCTGGATGATTACTGTATTTCATTCAAAAATATCTAATGACTGTGCACGGGGGAGACTGGTTGGAATAGGGGGGTTGTTTGAGCTGTTTGTGTCTTTTTGTTGCTTCTATGTTCTGACAGTTTACTATGAACACGTAATGTTTCCCAGGCTATGTTACCTCAGGTAATGAAGTACTAGGTTCTTAGAGGGAAAAGCTCCTTAGCCTCAGCTTGAAGTGGCTTCTCTGCAGCAGCTTCAGCAAGAGATGCTTTGCCAGAACCAAGGGAACGTTCGCCAAGGACAGACTCCTCCCTGCTAGCTTGGCCAAATATGCACACTGCTCACGTGGGAGCAGGAGCCTCTAAAGAGCCACAGGCGTGACCTTGAACTCCAGAAGGAAGGTCCACTGTGTTAGGAGAGAAGGCTGGGGGCACCTTGGAGTTCCCAGCAGCGGCACCGCCAGCGTGTGTGCCACACAGAGGGGGCTGGGAGTCAGCTGAGTCTTTGTTCAAAATCAGGCATCCACAGCCACGGCTGCTGTGTGACAATCAGAAGTGTGCGGCGAAGTCCAGTGTTCTCCCCTCTCCCCGGCATGGAAGAAGGAGCAGTGAGCCTGGTTGCCCCACTGGATGGCGCAAAACTTTGGTGTTTACCTAAGCTTCCCCAGCTCATGTAAGACATGCATGAGGGCTCTGGGTTCCCTCTCCAGCACTTGTTATCCTTGTCATTTTTAAATTCTTGCAGTGCTGGATTTAAAAATGACACAAGCCTAACACACACTATCTGGAAGCCCTGCTGTATGAGGCGTTCATTCAGGTGTATTTTATAACCCTGGGTTCTTACCAGAGCTGGAGTATATAGCTGTGAGATTCAGAGGACCCAAACTGACCATACCAACACAGCTTAAGCAGAACCAGAGCTGGGATTTGGAGGCAAGGCTCCTGGATGCTCCTCCTTGGAGCATCCTTGCTCCTCCTTGCTGCTGCCCTTCACTGTTCTAGGCAGGGAGCAGAATCCTGCAGTTCATCTCGGAGCACCTTTTGGCAGTCTCGGCTTAGTGGAGCAGAGCAGAAAGGCTCATCCCTGGCCTCATGGACTTGACTCAGTGACCACCTGTTCCAGCCTGCTTTCTGTTGCTGTGAGAAAACAAACAATAAACAAGCAACAGCAACAAAAACCTCCACAACCAAAAGTGACTTGGGAAAAATAGGGTTCGTTTTAGCTTCTATGTTACAGTCTCTTGTGGCAGAGAGCCAAAGCAGAAACTCAAGACAGAAGCTTGAGCAGAAACAGGACAGCTGCTTATTGGCTTGCTCACTCTAGCTTGCTCAGGCCCTCACAAAGCCTAGGCCCTCCTGCCTAGAAATGGTAACACCCACAGTGGGTGTGTCCTCTTACACCAATTAGCAAGAAAACTCCCCACAGAGAGGCCAATCTGACCGAGGCAATTTCCCAGCTGAGGGTCCCGCTTTCCATGTATGTCAAGTTGGCAACCAAGATTAGCCATGACACCACCCCAGCTCTGACCTGTGCTTGTGTCTCTACAGGAAAACAACGCTGCCCTGCACCACTTGCTCCAATAACCTCCTAAGCTGCTGCAAGAGTCTGTGGGGTCTTCACTTCCTCAAGCAACACCCAGAAAGCCCCTCAGAGGAGCAATCAGGGGAGCCACTGTCTGAGGAGACAGAAAGGACATCATCACAAGAAGGAATGGGGGTGTTGCCCTGTGAGGCTGTCTAGATACTGCCCAGGATACCAAGATACTGGCCTTACCACTTGGATCTCCTTTCTGTAGACCAAGCCCCATGAACCACTGAGGACAAACTTCAGCCTTAGCCTGAGAGCTCACACAACACCCAGACCAGCTTCCCTATGAGCAGACTCCAGACAGGTGCTTAGGCTCACTTAGGCTGACTCCCTTGGGTTCAAAGCTGATGTTGGTGCTGGCCCCAGGAGTCATGAGCAGAGGCAGTGAGACAGAAATGGATACACAGGTGTGCACGTATGTGCTTCTGTAGAAAACATGCACATCTGCCAAGCGGGGCAAAGGCAGTTACTATAAAGCACTGGCCTCGTTCCCTTGTGGGATCTCAGTATGAGCAGAAGAGAAGGGGATGGGAAATAAGGAAGAACAGAGCAACTGCCCTCCATGAACACCAAATGAGGTGCCAGGTACTTTGCCAACATGGGGTCACAATTTATACACATATGCTTAGGATAGACATCACTATCCAGACTTTTCAGAGATGGAAACTGAGAGTCAAGGATGTGCCTCAGGCCACTCAGCTAGAAAACATGCCTGGGATAGAGGTACTGAGAAAGTACTTGGTGAGTGGGTGGATGTGTGAGAAGATGGATGGATGGATGGATGGATGGATGGATGGATGGATGGATGGATGGATGGTGGGTTATGGATGGGTCATGGATTGATGATGGATGGATGAAAACCCAGGCTTATGTCCATGCTACAGTACACTACCACTCAGAAGAGAAGTCAAGATATTTCCTCAACTCAACTAATCCTCCTCTAGCAAATCTTAGCCCTCCACACTGAGATACAGCCATTGATGGTGCTTGCTATCAACAAGAAGAGGTGTGCAGTGGACTTGTGGGGCAACATGTGTTTATTGAGCCCCAGGCAAGGACAAGTGAATGCTGGGAAAATGCAAAGGTTGCAAATGTGTGGGTGGACCCAGTGATCCTCTCATCTGGTGACATGACCGGGGCACATTGCCTCACCCCTCTGGGCAGCTCTTTACTCCTCTGTATACATGGGTAAGCTCCCTTTCTGTAGTTAGAGAGCTGCGGAAGAGACTCAAGGAGATGGAGTTAGTGACAGCTCCAGAGAGATGAGAGTGTCTACGCTTCTCTCCCCCAGGTCTTCTCAATGGTGTTGCCCTTCCTTAACCTCAGCCCTCTTCTGCCCCCAACCATGCCCCATTTTGAGCCCTCTTTGTGACTTGTCCTCCACATAGCCATTAGATGTGACCATTCCCTGGGGCTCAGTGCTGAGACTTCTCATTCTGGATCTCCCTTTGGGACCTCATCTACATTTGTGATCTTATTCACAAGACATAAGATTATTTACTGATTTACAGCTGTAGGCAAGGCATCAGGCCATGGTTCACCTCCACCTGGATGTTTTGTCTTTAACATGGCCACAACTACACTCTCACCTGCTTCCCTAAAGACCCCCTTCTCAAGCAAAGGACACATTCTGGGCTTCAAAAGCCAAGGTCAGTCTCAACCCCTCCTTGTACCTTGCTTTTTCATGGTGGAACGCTAGAGTCTTAGCCCCCAGGCATATCCACCATCCAACTGGTAACCTTCACCTTTCCCTTTCAGCTGAACCTGCTGCTGTAGTCTCCATTAAGACACTGGAAGAACTACTCAGATGGCTTTCCCGCACTACCCTGCCCCCACCCCGCTTCACTTTCTCCAGTCAGCTACCCATGGGACAGCTTTGGTGGGCTGTGGAAATGCATGCCCTACCATGTCACATACAGGACAGACCACTCTTCAGGCTGTCCTGCTGACCTGGCCTTGTCGGCTTCCATGACCCCTCAGCTTCTCCCTATGCCCCAGCCTTCTCTTCCTTCCGCTCCTGTTTGTCTTGTTGTTTTTATTTAGATCTACTATTTCTAGCAACCAAGGCATTCAGAGTGTTCTTTCCATGACCTAAAATGCTCTTTTGTCTTCTGGACAAGTTGAGACCATGAGGTCTCAGCTAAAACACCATCTCCTTGAGAATTTCTTCCTTGTCTCTTCTAACTCATCCTACACCAGGCCCTTGCCACACACCATGGGACTTTCTGTAGAAGCTGCTGGAGTGGTTGTAATGTAGCAGTTGGCTGTGGATTCTTGGACAGCATCTGCCTTTCCTATACATGAGTTCCTTCTGTTGACCTTTGCCTGTTTGACCCCTGGAAAATTGTTTATACATAGTAGAAGCTTACTGAAAAATTGTCAAGCGAATGTGCAAAGAATGGTCCACACACTAATATTTTAAGAGCTAGCCTGCCAGTAAACTTCAAGGCATCATTTGGTATGATGACCCCAAAGACGACCATTGGGTCTCTGTCAAATTCCCTCTGAAAGCCCGAGAAAACCATTTAGATGTCTTCTCAGGGGCCTATGGCAGGTGAGTCTCCTAAGTCACAGCCAACTAACTAATGGCACAAGATCTTTGGTGCAAATGGACCTGCCTGATCAGAGAGGCAGCCAATCAGGGCTCAAGACCACAGTGCCCAGGGACAGCCTGCTGCTTCAGAGGATTCCTGCAAATGTGACTTTCTGGAGCTTTTTATGGCAGCACAAACAGGAGTGTGTAAGGCCTGGGGGAGGAACAGCTGAGGTGGAGCTACAAATCCATACTCTGTGTTACCACGTTCCAATAAAGCTATCAAAATGCTGCCTCTCTGTCTCTCTGTCTCTCTCTTTCTCTCTCATATGCACACACACACACACAATGAGTAAAAACAAAACAAAAAAAATTAAGGAAGTTTCCCAGTAGCTATACTTTTTCTTAACATGAAAACCATGGAGGAGGAAATTACTTTAAGGTGACATGCTGAGATTCTGGGTAAAAATGCCTGGAGAGCTGCCATCCAATCCGCTCCATGATCTGATGTCTCTGTTTGTTGCTAACTTGTGAAAGCACACCATTTCCTGCTTACCTGGTGCTTCAAGTGTGTAGCAGGTGCTTGGCAAGTATACTTGTGGTGGAGGTTTTCAAACTTTTTAAAGGCAGAGATTCATCACACTAGACATCTTCAGGGTAGAAGTGTCCATCCATCGAGAGAGACCCACACTAAGTGGTTGAGGTGCAGGCAAGGGACCAGGACAAGAGAAATGCAGATCCCAGAGGAAGGCTGCAGAGAAGGAAGGAAGATGGCTGGAGTGGAGGGCACACTTGGGTAACTGAGCATCAGCCTGGGAAGGGACCCTGGGCTGGGAGAGAGGAGGCTGGAGGTCATAGAATCCTGAACTTTGGTACCTCCGGAAGAAACCATGGAGATACACCTTGATGAGCTTTCATAAACACCAGAGAAAAAGCTGGTAACTCGAAGCTTACAGAAACTCCTCTTCTCAAACAGCATTTAATATGCCAAGAGAGAAGGTCAAAGCCATGCAGAAGGCGTGGAAAGGTGAATCAGTAGCTAATGCTGGTCAGTTCTTGATGGAGCTGCTATCTCCTTGATAGCCATGTGTGTCATACCCACCAGGGAACTAGATAGACAACCAGCCACGCTGGAGCCCGGGAGCCGCTGTTTCAGAGTCCTGGTCTGCAGGCTCAAAGTCCACCAGCATGAACTGGATGAGAAGGAAAGACGGGTAATTCAGCCAAAGTGGAAGAACAGGAAAGCTGCAGGGGTCCCCCAGACTGGCTGAAGCAAAGTGAGGGTCAGCACTTGAGCTGCCCAAATGGACAGCTGGGGCTTAGTCTCTGCCTGGGAAGCGGTGGGGCGAGGGGGGGGGGGCGGGGAGGAGGAAGGTTGTATGACTCATCCTGAGGAGAAGCCTTTAAAAGGCATTAAGCAAGAAAGGCCATTGAGATTTCAGTTGGGAAACCAGACCAGGAGCCTTGGAGCAGAGGCAGAGAGCAGGAGCAACCCTGGTTCCTCAAGGTGAAGAGTAAAACTTTATTGTTTGAAGTGGAAAATGCTATAAAGCCCAGTTCTCTGGCCGAGAACTCACTTTGTAGCCCAGGCTGACCCCCAACTCCGGATCTCCCTGACTCATCCTCACATAAAGCTTTCTGAGGGCCCGCTCTCTGTTGACCCCTAGCTACGTGCTGGGGTCAATAAACGTAAGAGTATGTACTCCTACCCTCCAGGGAGACAGGCTTTTATTTAAACATTATAAAAGAATTGGAGAAGGACTAAATCTTGGAGATTGGCAGGCACATCACCAGGGGGCAGGTGCTGTCTGCACACCGGGTGGGGCGCTGTGACATTCCATAGGTAGTGCTCCCGGCCCAGCAGAATCAGGGTTCCCAAAGCCTGGATCTTAGCCTATGATGGATGTTAGGGGACGGCTGCGGAGCCCAGGGAATTAGTTTAGAATACCATCTCAGCTGAGCTGGTAGGTGGTGCAGACCTTTCGGAGTACCAGGAAGCCCATTTTCGCTCACCCGGCTGGCTGTGATCCCCAGGACCAGTGTTTATGAGACAGCTAATCAGCATACAGATAGGGAACAGAAGGAGCTTGCCACGCTCGGGTGGTTCTCTCCAGGTCAGTCAAGCAGCACATGATCGCCACAGGCACACAATCCCACCAGAATCTTGCTCCAGCAAGAACTCATCAGCCCTCACAGGTTGCTTGCTGGATGGCTGGGAAGAGCTCCCTTCGCCCCATCAGCAGCCCTGAGAGACTTGTAACTCATTGCTTGGTGGCCATTGCAGAGGTCAGCACCAAGCCCCCAATCTCCCTGCTCAAGATCACGGGACGCAATGGGCTTCTCCTGCCTGTCCTGCTGCTGCCCTTGGAAGCTGGTCTGCTGCGTCAGGGGCTCACTCCCCAAGGCTTTGCCAAAACTCTCATGTGTGCCATAAGCCTGGCATGATTCCCAGAGAAACGGGGCCCCCAAAGGGCTTGCCTTCTGGGTTAAGTGGATCCCAGATGAACCTAACCATCGTTGTCAACTGACATCTTCGAGCCCTCTCCCATGCTTAGTCTTCCAGTGGCTGTCTCCATGAGGTCACAGTCACTCAGCTCCCCACAATGACACAGGTGAGGTCACAGCTCAGACTCCCTTGTCAACAGTATGTGTTTTTTCTGATTTATAATTTGAATTTACTTTTAAGCTCATAAGCAGTTACAGAGGTAGTCTCTTAAAAATAGAAATAACTAAATAAACAAGATTGGACTAACAGGAATGCTGATGGTCATATGAGAAGGAAAAAATTTCACAGAGTCCCACCCTTAGCAAGCTTTCATAGAGACCAATTCCTAGACAAAGAATTACAGGAAAGTAGTGGCTTCTGGGAGAAGGAGACTTAGCCTCTCCCAAGGATGAGCCCTCCCTTATTGGTTGTCTAATGTAGAGTTATCAGCCTTGAAACTATATATACACCACCACAAAAACAGACTCAGCACGTTGTATTTATATATTTATATGCATACACATACATACAAACATACATACATCTATTTATACATGTAGGTAATAATGATCAAGGAAAAGGAGGCTGTTAACTTACGAGTCAGGGAAAGAAGGGAGGAAGAGAAGAGAGGTGGGAAGTGGTGTTATTTTATTTCAGTGAAAAATATTAAAAATAAAAAGGACCTATAAACTAAAACACTATAATAGTATAAGGAAAACCGGAGTTCACTTGGAAAATCCTCATCCTATTCTTTTTCCATGATATGCTTTTGATGAATAGACAGCCTCAGATCGCTACACAGTGCTTGATTCATCTTTTTTTTTTTTAAAGATTTATTTACTTGTGCATATAACTGCTCTATTTGCACAGATTCCTGCAGGCCAGAAGAGGGCACCAGATCCCAGTATAGATGGTTGTGAGCCTCCATGTGGGTGCTGGGAATTGAACCCAGGACCTCTGGAAGAGCAGACAGTGCTCTTAACCGCTGAGCCATCTCTCCAGCCCCGACTAATCTTTTTTTCTTTCTTTTTCTTATCATTAAAGTTGCAATGTCTGTAAGGACATGAATTCAATACCACATCTTCAAATTTCAACTATGACATAAAGGTCTCCCTCGTTACTTTTAACCAAGGGCGCATGTCAATTCAATACTACATCTTCAAATCCAACCATACAGCAACATAAAGGTCTCCCTCGTTATCTTTAACCAAGGGCCCATGTCACCTGGTGTACACGTCTGTCTTCCTAGCCACAGACATTGAGTCCCTGCTGGCTTCCTATGTTTAGGCAACACGATGCTGGTGACCTGACAGCATTTGGGGTGGGGCACATGCTTGTCACAAGACACAGACAACCCCTGGCTTACACTGGCTCTACTTAGAATTCTTTTCTTGTGGTGATGTGAAGGTGACACACGTGGGGTAGGCGGAACCGCCATCATGCCCCAGGTTGAACAGAGGCAACCGAATTCCATCCAGCCATGCTGGGTGGCAGCAGTGCGCAGCAACCCCTACTCGGCCATGGAACCACCAGGCAGGCAGCCAGCACCCTGCTGGCTTTTTAGGTAGGGTATCGCTGAGTTCGACTGAGCCAGTGCAGCAGGCCTCTGCTGAGTTACCAGAAAATAATCCCCACACAAGTCAAGCAGCATCTGTACATACAAGTGGATTCTGGGTATGGAGGTCTCTTATTGCCAAAGTGCCTCCAAAGGGGTGTGGTTCATTCTCAGCACCAACAAGGAGGCCGTGTTTCCCCAGCTTTCCAGTGCACCTCTGGCTTCTCTTATCGCCTAGAAGTTAGAGTAAGTAGAGAAATTTTAGGGAAAAGAAGTTCTCACACGTCTCCTTGGACCTACCCCAGACTTCTCATGACCTGAGTCCCGCCCTTCTCCTAGATCTCTTTTAAGGAAGCTGTCCCTATCAGAGACACACAGCCATGGCAGGCTACAGCAGCTAATGGTCCTAGCCACGCTGTGTAAAGAAACAAACTCGAAGCATATGACAGAAAACACAGGATCAGCTCCTGAGTCTGTAGGCTTGAGTAACAAGAGGCTTTGACGGGATGGTACAACTTCCCTCCATGCACCTTTCAACCTCTTCTCGGACCTTTGAGTCCATCCAAGCATAGTCTCATGGAAATGGCGGGGCACGAACCAAAACCGCAGAAGCAGATGTTCATTTCAAGGTTCTGGACAAACACATTACTAACAAAAACAAGTCTGTGGCCAGCCCACAGAGGAAGGAAGTAAATCCATTCTTCAAGTGGAACTGAGATGGGCTGATAAATAATCCCTCAGCATGGTGGATGAGCATCTAGTCCACCAGAGGCAGAGGCTGAGTACGGACTGCGATCTGCCAACTCTAGAGCTCTGCTGAGTCAGGGCCCTAGGAATGGAGAAGACTGGAAACTCCACCACAACTGGAACTGGCTCCTGAGTCCCCCACATTCTGCCAAACTCCACTCTCTTCACATCCTGGTTCATTGCCTACAAGGAAGATCTTTAAGGCTGAAAGCTGGACTTGACAATGTCCTGCGTACAGGCCCTTCAGTGAACCCTCACCACCACCCCTTAAATTGCCACTTAGATTGCAGTCACCCAAACGGGGCATTCCCGATGCACTTCAGACTCTCAGCCCTGGCTCATCTCATGCTGTTCCTCCATCCTGCTCAAGGATCCGGCATTTCTAACCCATACCCACTCTTCAGCCACATCCTTTACATACTTGCCTTTCCAATCTACCTTTTCCCTTAGTTACCCCCAAAATCTCAGCTTGAACATCACCTGGTGTTGGTGATAAACATG